TGTCTCCACCATGTAAGACCCAGAGATTAATTTCAGGTCAAGCCAGCAGCAAGTGCCTTTCTCTGATGAGCCATCTCACTGACCCTCAGTAGTTTCTAAACTGATGAAATGTCAGCTTTGTCACATTTGTTCAGTCTCCAGTCCTAGAATTCATTATCCCAATAATGAGTTTTTCCTCTTCTTTCTTTCCTTTCTTCCTTCCGTCCTTCCCTCCTTCCTTCTTTCCTTCTCTCTCTCCATTCCTCCCTCCCTTTCTTTCTGAGACAGAGTCTCAAGTAACCTACACAAACCTTAAATTCCCTATGTAGTCTAGGATGACCTTAAACTAATGATCCTCCAGCCTTACCCTCCCGAAAGGTGGAACTACGGGCACATACCAATATGTTTGTTGTTTATATCATTTTAAATTGCTCAGTGGTAGAGAGCTTGCCTAGCATGGACATGGTCTTGGGATCTATCTACAGCGCCACAATCAATCAATCAATCAATCAATCACATTCTAGTCTATGTATAATTTACTTTCTATCTGGATCTTTGTTTCCAATCCTTTCCTATTATAATTAAGTAGTTATTGCTCATGCCTTTGGGCGTGTGTATATTAGAGAATGAAGTAGGACTATCTGCTAAGGATAGATTCCTCAGCAAGAAAAGGGCCATGTGACTGGGGAATAAAAAGGTTCCAAGGGAGATGGTAAGAAAGACAATAGGGCAACATGGAAGGGACAAATACTAGGGACAAAGGGTACAGTGGAGAAGAGGGCAAGGGGGATGGGAAAGAGTTAGGGGAAAGGTGGAAAAAAACAACCAAACTGAGATACATGTGAAGGCACCATAAGTTGTACAAGGCTCTTGTTGTTTTGTACAATAAATAAAAAATAAATAAATAAAAGTCCGGATTACTAAGCATAATATTCCAGGAACAAATAGGACTGAGAAAAGGTGTCAAGACTGGTCTTGAACTCAGAGATTTGTCTACCTCTGACTCCCAGGTCTAGGACATAGCTAGAAGGGCATTGTGGTGTATGCCTGTAATCTTAGTACTTGGGAGACTGAGGCAGGAGGATTATCTAGAATTCCAGAACACCTGGTACTACAGAGTGAGACACTGTCTTAGAAAAATAATAAATGATAAATTTAAGAAAAAATCAAATAGTGCCAGCAAGATAAGCTCTTTGGGTTAAGGCACTTGCCACCAATCCTGATGGACCTGATACTCCCAGGACCCACATGACAGGATTAGAGAACTAACTCCAGAAAAGTTGCCTTTTGGCACACATGTACTATGGCATTTGTGTGTGTGTGCATGCACACACACACACACACACACACACACACACACACACACCACACACACACCACGCAGGTGTGCATGCACGTGTCCACATACACACACATACACACAAACTAAGTAAGGGAATACAAGGTAATAATTTTTAAGGAATAATATAGTATTTATAGCTATCACTGCCGTTCAGAAAGGTTAGAGTGGTTTACATTCTCCCCCACAGCAATGTGTGAGTTCCCCCTTCAGAATAATAATAATAATGACAGTAATAGCCAATAGCTATTGGGCATTTATGACTGATCTCATTCATTGATTCTTTCCAACAAGTGTGTGAAGTTGCAAACTGATGTTCAGAGCAGTGGTGCCAGAAGACACGTGTGCGAAGCTGGCAGGACGGACCTATGGCTTCTCTAGCCCCCACTTAGCTCCCTTCCCACCAACTTCTTGCAAATGGGCAGAATTGGCTTCTTCCAAACTGCTGCTCAGCCATCAAGGACAGGATGGGAGTGGTGAGGTGTGGAAAGGACAACATTGGCACCCAGATATCTGACTCAGCTACACCCTCTTCCCATGGTGCATCTGACCCACCACCCTCCATCCACCCATGCCCGTATCTTTTCCTCTTATTCTGGGGTTCATATGCTTGAACATTCAGCCTCCTGGGAGGGGTAAATGAACTCCAACTGCAAGTTTTATGGGGCCATTGAACCAGCGGTGCAAACATACCTCAGTGGAGATAAGAGTGAGTCTAAGGCTACTTTTGGCACCCCAACTTCCCACCTGACTCTGACTGTGCCTCAAACAGCCACCACTACCCTGAAAAGAATTTGCAGAATAAGGAGTGGGGATCTGGGTACTTGGGTCCCTGATCAAAGGAGGAACCCTGGACTTCCTTCCACTCTCCTTATCCAGATCCTTACATGGACATGTGAACTGTATTTGTCCATTAATTCACTCAATTTCCTGAGCCCTGGGTTATGTGGGAAACGGTGACACAGCAGGTAGTGTCTGGCTTGGCAGCTTATCCCCTCCCTGCCTCTTTAGCCCCCAACCTTTAGCCTACTTACTTCCCTGTCAGGCCCTTGAACAAACCACTTCCTCCCTCAAGATTCTCTCTTTTCTTTTGGGAAGGGGGTTGTGGGAGGCGACCTCTTGTAGTCTAGGCTAGCCTTAATCTTATTATGTAGCTGAAGATGACACTGAACTTCTGCTTGTCTCCCCCACCATCCCAGTGCTGGGCTTACAAGCATGAGCCCTAACACTCAAATTGGTGTGTCTGGGGCATTGAACTCAGGCATTCATGCACACTAGGCAACAAACACTCTCCCAGTTGAACTACATCCCCGGCTCCAGAAGCTCAGTAGGGCTTTGAAAAGCTCAGCTGCCATACCTTTTAACAGAGTTGACCCCACTCTCCTTGCTCATAACAATTAATATGGAGTAAACTTCATCTTCCTACCAACCCTCCAACCATATTCCCACCAGCTGGGGCCACCCATATGAGCTATCTAGAGACTTAGTCTGAGGCCCAGGATGGCCTGAAACTAACTATGTAGCCCAGTGTTATGGTTTGAGTCTAGAATGTCCCCGACAGACTTGCTTTTTATAATGTTTTTATTTATTCTTTGCGAATTTCATATATTTTGAGAGTATTATTTCCTTCTCCCAAATGCTCCCAGACCCTCCTCTACTTCCCTGCTCACCCAAATCCACGTCCTTTCTCTCTCTTAAAGCAAAACACACACCAAAATCAGCAACAAAACCATGGAGTCTGGTTTGTGTTACTAACTGGAGTCTGCCCTGGAGTAAAGTTGGTAATTCAATTCCACTTCATTGAAAAGAACAGATTTTCACTCTCTCCTGAAAGCTATCAATTGCAAACAGCTTCTTGGTTAAGGGTGGGACTTGGTGCCCAACCTCTGCGCTTGGATTTTGTGTGGCTTGGTCTTATGCAGGCCTTGGGCATGCTGTCACAGTCTCTGTGACTTCATATGTGTACCAGCCCTGTTGTGTCTGGAAAATGTATTTCCACTACCTCTGGCTCTCTTGCATAGACCCCAGACAGGCTCACATTTGAAATACCCAGACCCCAGCTTGTGGCATGATTTTGAAGGCTTTGGAATCATGAGTGCATGGAATCAAGATGGAGGAAGTAGGCCACTGAGGAAATGTCTTCAAAGGTTATGCTCACTACTGCTTCTGGCCTCCTATTTCTGTGTGCTGGTTTGCTCCCTGTGCACAGCTGTGGTACAAACTCCTGTTACAGCAGAATGAGCCACTCCTGTCTCCATGCTCTTTCCACTATGATGGACTGATGCTCTCTGAAACCATGAGACAAAATAACTATTCTAAGTTATTTATTTCTCTCCTGTATTTCGTCACATTGATCAGAAAAATAACTAATACACCTAGGCTGGACTCAAACTTGAGATCCTCCTACCTCAGTCTTCTCAGTGCTGGGGTTACAGACATGTACTGCCACACCTGGTGTTTTGTTGTTGTTGTTGTCATTGTTACGTTTTTATTTTGAGGTAGGATCTCACTATGTAGTTCAGGCTGGCTTTGAACTCAAAACATTCTTGTTGCCTTAGCATCCTGGGTACTAGGATTACAGGAATGCACCACCACACCAAGACACTGTTTT